CCTGGAGGCCATCAGGAACTTCAGATACAAGGGAGGCAACACTTTCACAGGTAACTGTAGATATTACACCCAGTATATTTCTTAACAACCTGGGATTAATAAATGTTCTAAAAAGGAAGGTTCAGAGTCTAATTTCTAGTTGGATGAGCCATATTCAGAGTTGTTGGACAATGCAGATAAATGCATCCTATATAAGCATTTACCTGTAAATATACCTACATATTTTAGTTATTGGACTGATACTGATAACATTAACAAGCTACATTTACAGGCCAGAACCAGTATAACCAATGGCATGCATCCTTTAATATCTATTGAACATTTATGTTTTTTTTATCATATTGTTGTTGTCACCATTTATAAGCAATAATTTTTTTACCACGGTAAAGAGGGTTTTAGGCAGTCTGATTTGCATTATTTCCAACACATCTTGTTCACTGTAAAGTTACTAAACGCACAGCATCTTCTGGCTTATTGTTTTTTGTTACCTAATAATATGAATCCTATTGACTTAATCCTATATGAAACCAATACGAGAGTTTTTCTGCAAATTTGACCATCTTCGCTGTTCATTTTTAACATTATAATGTAATTATTTCAGGTCAGGCTCTCATACATGCTCTTGAGAACAATCTGAAGGAGGAGGTGGGGGCACGACCCAACACCCCACAGTTCCTGCTGCTGCTGACTGATGGGAAATCTCAGGATGATGCTATTGCTGCAGCCAACAGGCTGAAGAATGCCGGCATAGAGATCATTGCTATAGGTGAGAGCCTCTTTTAGCAAATTACACAATGAGTGTAATGAATTTCAGAGATGCTTTGTGAAGATGAATGCTGTTTGCTAATGAATACGCAACAGTTAAAAAGTTTGGAGTCGGTAAGATCTTTTTTTATGTTTTTGAAAAGTCTCTTTTGCTCACCAAGGCTGCATTTCTTGGATCAAAAATATAATCAAAACAGTAATATAGTGAAATGTTATTATAATTTACAATAACTGATTTTTTTTTATTTGAATATATTTTAAAATGTAATTTATTCCTATGATGGCAAAGCTGAATTTTCAGCAGGCATTACTCCAGTCTTCAGTTTCACATGATTCTTCAGAAATTATTTTAGTATGCTGATTTTGTGGTCCAGAAACATTTCTTATTTTCAGGTTTCTTTGATTTATTATTTAGGGCATTTGTGGCATAATGGTTAGAGAGTCCAATTTGTTACCTCGCAGGTTCGATTTTCACTACTCACTGCTCCTAATGTGAGTGCAAACTTGGTCGTTTAAATGCAGAGGACAAATTCTGATTATGGGTTACCATGCTTGGCCTTCATTTCACATTCACGTTGAATATAAAGTTCAAAAGAACAGCATTTATTTGAAATATAAATCTTATGTAACATCGTCACTTTGTCACTTTTGTTTTTAACAATTCTATGCATCTTTGCTGAATACAAGTGTTACTTCTTTAAAAAAAATCTTACTGGTCACAGTCTTTTGAATGGTAGTGTAAATACTGTATATGTTAGTGCATATTGAAATGACCTATAGTTATGTGTATATTAACATATAAAGTTTTCTTTCTTTCTTTCTTTCCCACTCATGTCCAGGTGTGAAAAATGCAGATGAGGCAGAGTTGAGGCAGGTGGCGTCTGAACCGCTGGAGCTAAATGTGTATAATGTGAATGATTTTCCTCTGCTCAGTAAACTGGTGGGAAGACTAGCACGCATCCTCTGTGGCAAGATTGAAGACCGCATTAAAGCGAAGAGTAGGTCAATCACACACACATTAGCCTTCATTATATTGATCTGACAGGTTTCTACCACATACCCCCATTAAAACAAATTGGTATGTGTCTTTTGCGAGAAGGAATAGAGCGTCCCACTCAGGACCCAGTTCTGTCCTATCCCAGCCCAACTGATCTGCAGTATGTAGGACTAGGTTCGAGAGAGGTGCGCCTGCGTTGGACCGTCCCCAGCAAAAGACCTCAGCAGTACAGAGTGGTGTACCACACCGCTGAAGGACAGAGTCTGAAAGAGGTGAGACAGGCGTCAAAGAGACCCTCCTCCAAACAATAAGAAGTTAGTCTGTTAGACTAAGGCTGCGTCTGAAATCGCATACGCTCTAAGTACTTCATTTGAATAAGTATACATTGTGACCGTTAAAAAAGTTTGTTATATAGCAGGAATGTGTCCGTTTTAATTAATGTACTACATAATTTACTACAGTTGCATCACTTCACTCCCATTCACAACTTCTCTCCCATGGCCTTGTGGGATAGTAAGTGTCCACTGTATGCACACTTTAGAATCTCACCAGAAATAATAGGTCATCCGGGGACTTTTTCCAACTGTTTTATGCAAACTGTGAGTTGGGACATACTCTTTTCACATACTGTTTTTCACCTCCTATATAGTAGGAAAGTACTATATGCTGCCTAAAAGTTGGTATCTCCCAGCCATTAGTACATGCTGGAGACTGGTATCCTGTAAAGATGCTAAAAGCTGGAATTGCTTGTATCATATCGCTGTGGTTTACTTTTGAGCACCAGGAACTGATGAAAAGTTGGTTTGTTGGTGCCACCTACAGGACGTTTTCTATGCTGTAATTAATATTGCATTCAGAAGACTATTTTGTGTGATTTATATGCATGTTTTTGACTTATCTCAGGTGGTGGTGAATGGAACTGGCTCCACAGCTCTGCTGACAGGACTGTCTTCACAGACACAATACCACCTGTCCATCTTTCCTGTCTATGAGAACAATGTGGGCTCTGCTTTGAGAGGCACCTTCACCACATGTGAGTTTCAGCACTCAAAATGCTCATTCATAACATTTCCTGATTTATAGATAAAAAGCCCAAGACCACACTGAAAATCTGGGATTCAAAACTTGGAAGCAGAAAGTTTTAGGATTTTGCGACTTGAAAACAAATATTATGACAAAAATGAATAAGAAATATTTCAGATTCTGCACTATTTCCAGGACACTAATCAAATTAGCACATTTATGACACTGATCATGTGACTCTTTGTACATTCGATCAGATTTTCTTCTTCCATTGAAGCTCAATATGCTCTTATTATTCTCAAATCTTTCTGGAGAACATGATCATCAGATTTCTCACAAACTTGTGGAGTTCTCCTCTTTAGCTTGCTTTTCTTCTCTTCTCTAGCTGGCCTCATAATCTAGTTGTCTAAAAAAAACTAGAATTGTTTTTTTGTAAGTTGGTTTGGATAAAACTCTCATAAATTATGATAATGTAATTTGGTCTCAGAGGTGTAGACCCCACTGCATATCATAATAAATGTTCTCCTCATTAAAGTACCATTGGCGATACCTGAGGCTCTAGAGGTCACCGCTTCCTCCCCTAACAGTCTGCGGGTGCGCTGGCAGCCGGCCGCAGGAGCCACACAGTACATGGCCTTATATTCAGCACTCAATGATGGAGAGCCTGATGATGCCAAAGAGGTGAGTCTGGGATCATGTGGCATCTCACCATGTGGCTCGGTGTTCTATTTATGTTACAATGGTGTGATGCCGTTCCTATGCTCTTGTCTTTTGTTCCAGGTTAAGTTTGGACCTGCTCAAACGGATGTGGAGTTGGTGGATCTGATGCCGTCCACAGATTATTCAGTCACACTTTATGCTCTGTATGATGAGGATCCCAGTGACCCAATCACAGCCATCGGCACCACCTGTAAATACAGATTCATTATCAGCACTTTCATAGAAACAGATCACACTCTATACAGAGGTCTGTGCGAGACTCATTTTCCCATCAAGCTCACACACACTTTTATCCAGGTCCTGGATAGGTTTGACAAATCTTCTTAAAGGGATAGTTCTCACAAAATTGAAAAATTCTGCTCTTTGAAAAAATTTACTCAGCCTCATGTCGTTCCACATCTTTATGGCTATATTCTCTGGAATGTAAAAGAAGCTATTCTGTTTTTTGTCTATACTGTTGAAGTCAATAGGCAGCAAATCTGTTTGACTGCCAAAATTTTTCATAATATCTTCTTTTGTGTTCTGCAAAAGAAAAAAAGTAATGCAAGTTTGCAATGGCATCATGGTGAGTAAATGTTGACAGAATTTTCATTTTTGGGAGAACTATACCTTTAATAATGTCTTAATCCTAACTGCAGATAGACTTAATTTCTGTCATTAAGCACCATACATTAGATCAGAAAAACAGATGGCTGCTTCTCATGTTTAAAATAACAACCTAAAGTGACGTGTGTAACCAAGTGGTCACCCATACTTGGAATTCCACTCTGCATTTTACCAATCCAAGTGCACACATACAGCAGTGAGTAGTGAATGAATACACACACACACACACACACACACACACACACACACCATAAACACACACCTGGCGCAGTGGGCAGCCATTTTTGCTGCAGTGCCCAGGGAGCAATTGGGAGTATTGTGGGTGCAAGAGAGCGCTGTTCATTAATTTCCCCCACCGACATTTCCTGACGGTACTGATAACTGAACCCATGATCTTCCTTTTTGTTCCTCAAAGATAAAAATAACATGAAACTTGAATTGAAACTGTCAGCCAGTATGTGGTGGTAAAATGTCTACACCAACTGTTTCTGCTCTGGACACAAATGCTGCAGCTCTTTTGAAAGAAGGACTTTTGTGAACCCTTTTGTGACTGACATAAAAGAATCACTGAATCATTTTGTAGCAATTCATTGAAATGAACGGGAACTGATTCATATTGCAGTAATAACAAAATAGCATTTTTTACTTTTCAAACTCCCATGCTCAGCTCTTGACCCTGTCATACACCCTCTAACTCAGAAGTTGAGTTTCTTGCCACACCAAATCAAATTGAGTCCCATGCAGAAGTTTTTTGCTCATTCCCTCTGTTCTTTCACTCGTATGTCTGTTTTTTTCAGTCCCATTGCCGTCTCCTCTCAGTTTGCAGTTTCCCATGGTCAGTCACAGCACTCTGAAGATCACGTGGGTCCCTGGAGCTGTAGATGTTCCTGCACACCGCATCATCTACAGCACCAATCACGGCAGTGACGTCAAGCAGGTGAGCAGATCCCAGAAGTCACTTGTTAGGTTTTTGATGTTCCACCGAAACCTCTTTGAGTCTTCTTTCTTGTCACATTTTAGTAATACTTGTACGGCTTGTTACACTACTGTTCAAAGACTTGATAAATAAATACTTTTATTTAGCAATGACCAATGCTTGAAGTGGGCCGGTACGCACCGGTAAGCAGTACCGGCACTTCAATATTTTAGTCTTTAGCGTACTGGCACTTCTGACATGTTGCCGGTACTGTACCGGCACTTCTTTTTTTCCAATTCAAGCACTGGCAATGACTCATTAAATTGATCAAAAGTGATGGTAAAGACTTTAATAATGTTTCAAACATTTCCATTTCAAATAAATGCTAATCTTTTGAATGTCCTATTCATCAAAGAATTCTGAAAAAAAAGTATCACAATTTCCACAAAAATATTAAGCAGCACAACTGTTTTGAACATTGATGATAATAATAAATGCACCAAATCAGCATATTTGAATGATTTCTGAAGGATCATGTTACAAGACTGGAGTAATGGCTGCTGAAAATTCAGCTTTGCATCACAGGAATAAATTACATTTTAAAATAGATTCAAATAGAAAACAGTTGTTTTTAAATTGTAATACAATTTCATAATATTACTGCAATTTTCGATCAGATAAATGCAGCCTTGGTGAGAATAAGAGACTTCTTTCAAATCCATTAAAAAAAAACTTACCAACTCCAAACCTTTGAGCAGTATTGTATGTCTCATTTATTCTCTCTGTTTCTCAGGTGGAGGTCAAAGGTGTGAACACAGTGTTGCTGCAGAATTTGTCTTCCCTCTCTAGGTATCTGGTGTCAGTGCAGTCTCTCTACGAAAAGGGCCTGTCCACTCCTATCACAGCCAATGTCACTACCTGTAAGTTACACACATTTTTTTTAATGTTTTATTTTGTTACTCCAATTTGGAAGATGTTGTTGATATGCTCTTTGATCTTCTAGTAAGGGTCCCAGCTCCCTCAGATCTGAGAGTCACTAACTTCTCTGGCAGTGACATAACAGTGCGATGGGAAGCTGCAGCAGATGACGTGGTCTCCTATCTCATCAAATGGATCTCTCTCAGTGAAGGAGACCTCAGACAGGTTAGATCCAACTCTTTCACTTCCTGTGTTATGTCTGTGCAGTCAATGCTGATTGAAATAGCAACATAAATGTGTGCTTTAGCCTGTATAATAAGGTAATAATAAGTGGTAATTCATGGACATATTGCAGTTGACAGTAGATGGGGAGAGTGAGGGGGCAATCTTGGAAGAGGTTGAAGAAGATAAGGAATATCAGATTTCACTCTCTGCATTATATGCCGATGGTGCTCAGAGTGAGGCTGTGGCCATACGATACAGCACCTGTGAGTATATGCACTTATATACGCTCGTGATACCTTTGATTACAACACGTGAATAACTGTGTTGCATTTTTTGTGCTGCTTTAGTATCTGGAGGCGGTCCGAGCAGTTTATCCATTTCAGAGGAGACAGCAGTCAGTATGCTGGTCACCTGGGTTCACCCCAACGCCCATGTGCTGCAGTACCGTGTGTCATACACTCCACTTAATGGGGATGTGAGGGAAAACACAGTGAGTGCTTTTAGAAGAGTGAAACCTCTTATTTTATATTGCCTGTGTGTGTTTGAATGGTCTTATCTCCATCTATGTGCCCTACAGATTCCATTTTTAGGGACCATAGAGACTTGGGTAGCCTACTTGGGCTATTATGGCAACCACCCAGAACCATTTAGAAAAAAGGCATTTAAAACCACTCAGGCCACTTTAGCAACCACATTGCAATAGCTTGACAACCACCCACAACACCTGAAGATTGTGGCATTGACTTATGAATGGGCAAACACCAGTCGTATTTCTTCAGACAACGTAAAGATCTATTTCTCACCAAATAAATGAAAACATATATGATAACTGAAATAAAAACATAACTGGAAAAAAACATTTAAATTACAAAACAATTCAGTGACTCTCAAATTAATAAAATAACAATGACCTCAAAATCAAGTTGATTACTCAGTCTTGATAGTGATAACACTAGTTGGCCCTGAGAAATGTAACACTGTTATATATTAATTTATTATTATATTATAATATTGATATCACACCATATGATATCACACCATTCAAAAGTTTTAAGATTTAAAAAAAAAGAAAAGAAAAAGGATGCATTAAACTGGTCAAAAGTGACAGTAAGGATATAGTAATATTTATATTTATATTTCAAACAAATGCTGTACTTTTGAATGTTCTATTGATCAAAGAATCCTGAAAAAAAATTATCACAGTTTTCACAAAAATATTAGACCGCACACAACTGTTTTCAACATTGATAATAAGAAATGTTTCTTGAGCACCAAATCATCCTATATTTTTTTCCACGGAAGACTGCTGAAAATTCAGCTTTGCATCACAGGAATAAATTACATTTGAAAATAGATTCAAATAGAAAATGACAAAAAAAGAAAACTGAACTAAAGGATAAATTGAAAATGAAAATGAAAATAGAAATAAAAACTAAATTCAAAACTATAATAACCCTGGAGCATCTCACTATTGCTTAATTAGTTTGTTGTGTTTTAAATGAGGTGAGGTGTAATGTTGTCATGTTGGTTAAATAGGTGTCATTGCCAGGCAGCGAGAGGCGCGTCCTGCTGCAGAATCTGCTGCCTGACACTCGTTACAGTGTGCTGGTGACTGCTGAGTACCGCAACAGAGAGGGTGGCAGCGCCTCAGCCCAGGGGAAGACCAGTGAGTCTCACACACACACACATCAATACAGTATCTCTAGTGTGTGCTGACCAAGTATATACTTTCCACATGACACTGCACTGCCAGACTGTGTCTTGTATTTAATCTCCTCTCTGCACAACCAGCTAGCCTGCGGGTGAGCAGTGTGAGTGTGGTGCGGTCTGACCACTCCAGTATATGTGTGTCCTGGAGGCCCGTACCAGCTGTCAGTGGTTATCGCATAGTCATCCAGGCTCTCAGAGGTACCAGCTCTGAAATAAAGCATCATTAACTGTTTTTTGGAAAAAGTTCTGAACAGGCAGTTTGTTTTGGGTCATTTATTTCTCTCTCTCTCTCTCTCTGTTTGTGCTCAGATAAACAGACTAAGGAAGACAAAGTAGATGCTGCTAGCAGCAGCCACTGTTTCGCTGAGCTGCAGCCTGAAACTGTCTACCGCATCAGTGTGCACTCCCATCTGGGAACAGTAGAGGGCACTGCGGTCACTATCCTTCACCCTACAGGTCAGAATCCTGTTGGAGACATACTTCAGCCTAAAAAATATCTGATGTTATGTTTTGCTCAATTGTAATAGCATGTAATTCTCTCATAAAGCAACCGCTCCAGTGAGAATTCAGGTTCCTCCTCAACTGCATCCCATACAAAGAGAAGGTAAGAGTTGCAACAGTTAAGGCCTGTTCACACCAAACACAAATATTTCCATGAATATTCAGTGACCAAGATTTTGAAACAATGCACATTTTTTCATCTATTCATACCAAATAAATTAATTTGACAACAGAACTAAGCTGTTTTTCTTTGGTGAGTGGATCGTTTCTTCATCAGCAATGTAAACATAAATGAACTGAAAGCAATTTGCTTTGCTTTTCTACTTCACTTCTGGTGTGAACAGGCCTTTACGCTGCTTATGGTAAAAACAGCTTTCTTCAGACATAACATGGTGACTTTCTTTCCTTCTCAGTGTGTCCTGAGACAACAATCAGAAATCATGTGGTTAAAGGTATGGTCATATTTACATTTTACACTTATGCATTTGGCAGATGTTTTATCTAAAATGACTTAAATGGAATTTTAGGTGTACATATGTTCAATTCATGCATTCCCTGGGAATCAAATCCACGACCTTGGCATGTGTCAGACATTGGCATGCTCTACTTTTGAGCAAAGTTTTGCAGAGCAACAACCAAGATTATAGCCTAGTACTTTTCTAAGAGAGCAACATTGTGCCACTGCAGGGCTCAACAGCAATAATTGTTCTGTTTGCCCAGTCACCAAATCAGCATATTTGCCAATACTTCATAATTTCACTGGTGCCCAACACACACACAAAAAAATTATTGAAGAATTAAATGTTTGATGATATATTTTCATTTATATATTTTTTATATCTTATTTTAATACATTTATAATTTAATATTTTAATTAAAAAAAAATAACATTTCTAAATGCATTTAATATTTAATTAATAGTTAATTTTAGTTAAAGTCTTAGTTAATTTTTCTCTTTAATATTTATTTTAAAATCAGTGTTATTGTAGTATCATTTAAATACTTATTATTTATTACAGTTTTTGTTAATTTTTAATTAGACTTTATTTTTATATTTTGTTTTCATTTTTATGTTAAAGTTTTAGTAATCTTTTTGTGTTTTTGTAATTTTATTAGTTTAGTTTATTTAGTTTTAGTTATTTTAGTACTTAAATTTAAACTAAATGAAATGGAGAGATGTTGCCTTGGCAACTAGCTGAAATAAAATCAGTTTAAGTTTTTTATATTTTATTTCAAGTAATGTTTTTTTTTATCAAATGATACATTTTCAATAAAATTAGCTGGAAATTATGGTTATTTTCATTATTTATAGAGGAAACTCCAAGACGGCCTTAAAATCATAAACTCTCTTATATACTGACCCAGAGTTAATACTTATTTTGAGCCCTGTACTGTGTAAAAAAAAAAAAACATGAATTTGTGTGTGTGTTTTCTAGGCTTCGACATGATGGAAGCATTCGGTCTAACTCCGAGAGCTCACTCTACTATCGAGGGTGTGGCAGCTGAACCTTTCATCTTCAGCACCTTACCCAGTTACACCCTCTACAAAGACGTTCAGCTGACCCAGAGCACAAGGTGAGAAACACAAAACACACACATGCACATATTATTAAACAGCTCAGTTACACCCTTCATTCAGTGCTCACACCCTGTCTGTCTGTCTGTCTCAGCTTCATCCACCCGGCTGGCTTTTCTCCAGAACACACCATCAGCATGGCCTTCAGACTCTTGCAGGATTCACCCAGGGAGCCCTTCGCCCTCTGGCAGCTCACGGACAATGACTTCCAGCCCAAGATGGGGGTGGTGCTGGACCGTGAGTGCCTGGACATTTCTGTAGATAAAATTCTAGAATGGCTCCAATTCAGTAGCAGGGCTATTGAATTGTAAATCCCAAGTTCATTAGATCCTTATTCTGTGTTCTGTCATTTAGCTGAGAAGAAGATTCTGCTGTATTTCAGTCTGGACTACAGAGGAGAGATACAAGAACTGACCTTTGACCAGCCACAAGTCCACTCAGTTTTCTATGGCAGCTTTCATAAGGTTTGTGTGAAAGGTTTTTTGGTTACTGTCGATCAGTCAGACAAGCTTTACAGAATGTCCCATAGGAATAAACTAGAGATTTTCAACAATGATTTGAATTATTTGTACGTATCAGCCATTTCACTTTAAAAATGTAATCACAATGTAGGCAAACACTTCTCAACATCAACTTAAAAGAGAAAAACCTAAATTGAAAGTTTACATTTATTTATATATTTTATATATTTTTGTTTTTCAGTGTATTTTGGAGAATATCCATATAATTGTTTAAAAACTGTCCAAACACACAGATCCTCTAGCAACAGTTTCTAGGAAAGGATTGGTCAGTAATGTTTTACAACAGGGCTTAGCAAAGAATCAGTTGAGTACTTTGAGTGAGGGAAGAACAGAAATACGACATTTAAACTGCCACTGATTCTTCTCATCTCTTTAACTGATTGGCAGATCCATTTGTCCGTCAGTCAGGTGAGTGTATCTCTGTCTGTAGACTGCCGGCGGGTTGGCGAGAGGCCCGCACGCCCCCTGGGAACTTTGCCCACTGATGGTTTTGAGATGTTGGGCAAACTAGTGAGGACACGTGGACCTCACAGCGGATCTGCGGCTGTGAGTCTCACTTCATGGCCAAGAACATACTGTGAACAGTAATGTATATACACATATTAAGACCATGCATATTGTATTTTTCTCTAGTTTCAGCTGCAGTCCTTTGAGATTGTGTGCAACACTACTTGGGTATCAGAAGACAACTGCTGTGATCTGCCCTCACAGGTACATAATCAGTCTAGGTTGAGTTGACATATCAATATGGATGGCACTGAATAACATTATGTAGTGCAGGATGTCTTATTTTAAGTGTCGCTCTCTGTTCTCTAGAGAGATGAGGAGAGCTGTCCTGCCCCTGCTTATGAATGCACCTGCACCACCGACGTCCCTGGAGCACCTGGAGACACTGGGCCACCTGTGAGACTACAGCACTGCATTTTTAAACTGACACAAACATTAGGAAGCTTGTGAAATAATTTTAGTAGTTGTTGGAATAATCAGTGTTATGATAATTATTGGTGTAATGATACGTTTGAATTCAGGGGAGACCTGGCCCTCGTGGGGAGAAGGGAGAAAAAGGAGAGGTGGGACAAAAGGTAAGGAAACTTGCATGCAAAGTTGGGTTTGAACCTACAGCCATTATGTTAACCACTAATTTTAAAATGTAAA